GTGGGCGCCGCCCGCCAGCGCAGTGTACCTGTCGCTGCCGGACCCGCCTCCTCTGTCTCCGCCTCAGCTGCCGCAGCGACTGCCGCCGCGGGCAGCGGGTCCATCACGCCGCCAGTCATGTGAGCGCGCGCCACGTGACTTCCTCCGCGCCCGCCTGGCCGCAGGCCCCGCCCACCAGTGCATCGCCCCGCCCAATCCCCGCCCACACCCGGCCTCACCGCGCCCCTTGCCCGGCCTAGCCACGCCCGTGCTCGGCCTCGTCACGCCCACTCCCAGTCTCGCCCCGCCCCAGCCACGCGGCCACCGGGAGGACAGGCCCGCGCTCCCGCCCTGCGTCCGCCGCGCCTCCCCGCGGGCGCGCTGCCATCGCCACCGCCCCCTCGTTCACTCCCACCTGCCCTCGCTCGGGCACCCGCTCAGTCATTCATTCACTGAGCCGCTCACCCCTCGCCCGCTTACTCACCACTTCCTCATTCGTCTGCCCACTCACGCACCACGTCCTGCGGTCGCTCAGTCGTTCACCCGCTCATCCACCACCCTATTCATGCACTCACGCACTCATTCATTCCTTCACTTACCCACGCACCCACTATTCACCCACCCACTCATTCACTCACTCGGCCCTGCATTAGCTTATTCACCCCTTCATTCATTCATCCACTCACCCACTCATTCATTTACCCACCCCGTTCCTTCATTCACGGCCCGGTTTATTCACCTCCCCCTCTATTCATTCATTCACCCATTCCATCCTGCATTAGCTTACTCATTCACCCCCCATTCATTCATCCACTCACCCACTCATTCATTTACCCACCCCGTTCCTTCATTCACGGCCCGGTTTATTCACCTCCCCCTCTATTCATTCATTCACCCATTCCATCCTGCATTAGCTTACTCATTCACCCCCCATTCATTCATCCACTCACCCTATTCATTCATTCTCTCACCCATTCAATCATTCATTCATTCGTTCACCCACTTCATCCTGCATAAGCTTACGCATTCATTCATTCATGTGTTCACTTCCGCACCCGCGCAGTCACTCACTCACTCTGTAACTCACTCAAGTCTACTGGCTGCAGCCTGGAGGTCAGGCAGGCCCTGCGCTGGACGCTGAGGATACAAAGATGCCTTAGGTACCTCCTGATCCGGAGGACCGACAGGTGCCCAGAGTGGAGCAAGTGTCCTGACTGTTCCAAAACAAGGCTGTGAGAGCAACGCAGAAAAGGGTCACCTGGATGGGGTAGAGCCTGAGCTGATGCTGGAAGAATGAGGAGATAAGCAGGAGGAGGAGAGAGCGGGTTCCAGCAGGCGCAAAGGCTTTGAGGCATCTAACAGCAGCAAATGCTGTGGTCTTCCTGCAGCTAAAGGGGGAGCGACGGGGGCAGAAATGGCAGCAGAGGAAGCTGGAACAATTGGTAGAGTTCATCAGGGAGAGCCTTGTTTCCAAAGTAAGGATCTGGGACCTCCTAATACTGATGCCTACCAATGCCCAGGGAGTGGGTTACAATAACCAAGAGGCCAGACCCCCTGCCAGGGTCCTAGGAAGGGTCCCCCAAGTAGTTAGTTCCCTTGCCGTAGCTGCTAGACCCTGCCTCCGTTACAGACCACCGCACTTAGGACATTCTTGTCCCAGCACACCACAACGTCCATGTGAGCTGGCACAATCAACGATGCTCCCCTCCACTATAACCTAGGAAGCGCTGTCGCCCTTCTACAGATGGGCTAGGAGCAGCTTCCCAAGTCACAGTGGGACTGCAGGATCCTGTGACAAACACACCTCCCATCTGCTGCAGCTTCCTTCCGCCACCCTGGGCTTCTTTTCAGCTCCTATGGCATCAAATGACGTGCTCAGCACTTTACCCGACTCCACGTCTCTCCCCTCCCCAAACAGACACACACACACAAACTCTGCTAACTTGCTAACTTCCTGGAATTATTCGTTTCGTATCTCCACTAGATTATAAGATCTTTATCAAATTTTTAAAAGTTCATTGCACTTTGAAAACTGTGAAGCATTAAACGAGTATAAAATTAGACATTATTCAAGAATAATAGCGTATTAACTTTATTATTTGACTTTATTTTAACACCCCTGACATATGGTTACACAGCCTTTAGTTCAGTGGTTCTGGATCTTGGCTGCACTTGCTAACCACCTATGGAGCGTTCAAATGTGCTCTGCCTGGAGCCCATGCCCAGAAGTTCTGATTTAATTGGTCTGGGGTGTGGCCTGGACATGGGATTTTTTTAAAAAGCTCCCCAGATAATTCTAATGTGCAGCCCAAGTGGAAGACCACTGCTTTATTTATTTATTTATTTATTTATTTATTTATTTATTTATTTAGTGAGGAAGATCAGCCCTGAGCTAACATCCATGATAATCCTCCTCTTTTTGCTGAGGAAGACCAGCTCTGAGCTAACATCTATTGCCAATCCTCCTCCTTTTTATTTTCCCCCCAAAGCCCCAGTAAATAGTTGTATGTCATAGTTGCACATCCTTCTAGTTGCTGTATGTGGGACGCGGCCTCAGCATGGCCGGAGAAGCGGTGCGTCGGTGCGTGCCCGGGATCCGAACCCGGACCGCCAGTAGTGGAGCACGCACACTTACCCGCTAAGCCACGGGGCTGGCCCCAAGACCGCTGCTCTAAATTGAACAGTTTGCTTTATTCCCACAAACCTTTCCTGAACATTTACTAGGTACCGAATTGTGTGTGGCTGGTGGGAGAAGAGGGTGGGAGAGGAACACACAGATAATCAGATGAGGTCCCCGGCCTCCAAAGTTCCTGATGGACTTGAATGGAGGAGCAGAACACAACAGGATTCTCCCACCATGAGTGAAGCGAGTGTTAGGGCTGGAAACATGGGTGTTCGGGAAGGAAAGGTGAACGAGCCGTGGGTCCTGAGGTGACCAGCTCTGAATGCCTCCAGAAGCGGAAATTCAGTCGTTGCAAGTTGTGGGCTCCGTTGCCAGATATCTCTAACAGTTAGAAAGTTCTTGGGAAACGTGCCCTGAAATAGGTCTGCCTGTAACTTCTTTAAATCCTCACCAAAGAAGCCCAGTCCTTATACTATTTCTGTTTCATTCAAGGGACATTCAATTAAAAATTTCTGATTTTTAAAACTTTTTGATTCATGGGAAGAATCCAATTACATTAAGACTGTTAATCTGTTTTTTGAGTCACATTTACTGCTTTTCATTTAGGAAAGTGAGAACTATATAGACAAACTGCCAGTACTCAGAATGCAGGACACTGAAGTGGGGACTTCACTGCACAGGTGCACATGCAGAAAGGGGCTGTTATCAGTCATCTTGCTAAAATACAAGGATTTCCAAGTCCTGCTAAGGACCTTTCAAAAGAGTTACTAAAATGCTTTGAGGAGTACATCCTAGAAATATTAACAACAGTCGATATACTAGTCGGGATAGGCTATGTCATGCTGCAGTAACAATCTCAGATCTCAGAGGCCTGAGATAACAAAGAGGTTATGCTCGTCACAGTCCCTCTGAGACCCAGGAGAACGGAGCAGCCACCAGCTTGAATTCTGCCACCGTGACAAATGGAAAGTGGTCTGGAGGGTCTGGCATGAGCAATTAAACGCTCTGGCTCAGAAGTGACATACAGAGCCAGCCCCCAGTGTTAGCGGTTAAGTGCGCGCGCTCCGCTACTGGCGGCCCGGGTTCAGATCCCGGGCGCGCACCGGCGCACCGCTTCTCGGGCCATGCTGAGGCCGCGTCCCACATACAGCAACTAGAAGGGTATGCAACTATGACATACAACTATCTACTGGGGCTTTGGGGGGAAAATAAAGGAGGAGGATTGGCAATAGACGTTAGCTCAGAGTCGGTCTTCCTCAGCAAAAAGAGGAGGATTATCATGGATGTTAGCTCAGGGCTGATCTTCCTCACAAATAAATAAATAAATAAATAAAAATAGACGTGATATACAACACTTCTACTCACAACTCATTAGCCGGAACTAGTGACATGGCTCCACCCAACCACAAGAGAACCACAAGTACACCACTACCATGTGCCAGAAAGACAGAAAGCCAGAAATATTTGGTAAACAGCACTAAATACTAACCACCCTAACCAAACTAACATTTATTGAATGCCTACTGTGTACTGAGCACTCTTCTTAGTGCTTTTTATTTACAAACTCATCTACTCCTCACAATAAATCTATGAAATAGTAGTATGATCGTCTCCATTTTGCAGGCAGGTAAGGCCAGAAAATTCAACACATGAAGATCACAAAGCTAGTCAATAGAAGAGCTGGGATTCAAACTCAGACTGTCTGGTACCAGAGACTATCCTCGTAGCCCCTGTGACATTACCTCTATGCTATAAAGCTAGCAATTCCCTCCAACACTCTTAATCAGGAGATTCTGGTCCACCCACAACCTCTTGTTTTAGGAGGCTTAGTATGGAAGCTGCCTACAGCTCTGTAAATCATATTGGGGGGAGGGAGGAAGAGGGATTCTAAAAGCAGAGAAAATTATAATAATTTTATTAATAATATTAATGGCCCCAAACATTTGTTAAACACTTACTATGTGACAGGCACTGTGCTAAGTGCTGGACCAGTATCATCTCACTTAATACTGTGAAGGTCATGAAACCAAATCCTCCTGTGTCACTATAAGATACCTTCCCAGGCAGTGCTACTCAAGTATCCATTCTAAAATTCCTGTCTGGAGTAAGGAGATTTGCTCACATCCTCCATCAGCCCCAGGAAAGTTTAAATATCTCAAAAGTGTTGGCTCTCCTAATTAGACTTTGGACAAACTGCTTAAGTTCCCTCAGGTTCAGTTTGCTCGTGTGTAAAATGGATACATCAATATTGCTGACTCCACAGGGTTGTTCCTCAAAGGTTAAGGTTTAAATAAGAGACTTCAGATGGTGGTCTGAACTGATGCAGAAGTCCATTCACCCTCCTTCCCCAAACATACAGAAATTCTAGCTAAAATTTTACCCCCAAAACTGTTTTCATTTTTTTTGTTTTTTTATTTTTTGGAAGATTGTCCCTGAGCTAACATCTGTTGCCAATCATCCTCCTTTTTTCCTTTTTTCTCCCCAAAGCCCCAGTAGATAGTTGTGTGTCATAGTTATACATACTTCCAGTTGCTCTATGTGGG